TATGAGAGATGAATCAGATAAGTGGCATGAAGGAGAATATAATGGAATGAGAATGATCAGTGGGATAAGATTGAAAAAAAATTGAATATTGTGATGAACCAGGACCAAGGATGAGGAGGAAGAAAGGGAGAGGGTGATAAACGATGTGACATCCATGCACACTGTTGTACATAAACACAATGGTTCCATAGAAATGGCTAAATTAGACAAAGAAAAAGGGTTGTGCTTCATACATTCAGCCTTTTATAACCACATCTTTTAAAACATTGTCTTAATTTTTGCAAAAGAAAACTAATGGTTCAGAGGAGACTGTTTTTATATAGTTTTATATGAGCTGTTTTGGTTGTTTACACAGGTACACTTCACTGGAATGTATGAAACCTCAGTTTTATAGTTGTTTGTGCAAAATCCCATCTTTTGGATCATCCTTTTATATGCAAATTAGTTTTAAATTAACTGTTCCTTATACTGGCCTGTTTCTATGTGCTTTACTTTTAGGAATAACTTGAAAGCACAACATTAAAGCTTTGCCAAACACATGCTTGTTTTATCTTTTTTTCGTGTAGAATCTGTTGTGTGGGTATGTGTGTGTGTGTGTGTGTGTGTGTGTGTGTGTGTGTGTGTGTGTGTGTGTTTCTGTCGACCGCTATAACACCACAAACGCTCTATGATTCCTGGGGAGTTGCTCAATGCTCTTTGAGTTTCTGTTTTTTAATCTTTTTTTTCTTCTTTTTTTTTTGCTGTTGGAGAGTTGTTAAACACTCTCTAGTGTTTTCCACTGCAGTCCGAAACGGGTGGATTGGGGGATTGGAGGGGTGTTGACAGCTGAGTTGTCTCCGACTAATTGACACCAGCACAAGTTACCTCTGCCTGTGAATGCATGAGGAACCACCTATAGCTCATTGTACCAACACTATGTTAATGTCTTCAGAACATGCTGCAACAGCAATAAAATCTCATGCTGGTCAAAGAGGTACCAGAGATTCAGATGGCACAAAGTCCCAGCAGTGGTTTGTGTGTCTGCTCCAGGGAAGGAGATAATGGAATCGTGGTCTTTGTTGTGTTCTTGGCTTTACACAATGAAGGCATTTATGTTCTGCTGCTGTTTTTGCTTCTTGTCACTAGGCAGTGCTGCTGTGACAGAGTAGGACAGAGGACATTGTAATAACATCTAATAAAGTTCATGGGTTTAACTGTTGTTGCCTATTTCATTACAACCACCACAGCAGTCAGGTTTGGGACAGAAGAACCACAAAGGGAGTAAAAGATTATCCTCACATCTTGATATTCCTCTCCTTCACTGGGCTTTCATAAAAGCTAACTCACGCCCACAGTTTGACTGTGTTTTTGAAGGCAAGTTTAAATTTCTGTATCAGACGCTGAAGATTTTGCCCGAAGAGTCCAGTTTGCGAAATGTGTGTGAGCTGGTTTGTGTGCGCGTTTGTGATGTCGGCGTAAGTTCGGGGACTTCATGCCAGATTCTCATTAGCCAGCTCCTGCAGCCTAACAGCATCTAATGAAACCTGCAGAGCAGTAGTGTCTCCTCCAGTCAGCGGGGAAATCACATTACGGAGCTCATCTTTAACCATCACCCTCCTCTTTACCAACATGTGATCACAGCTTTATCAACACCTCCGACTCTCCTGGAAATTCTGGTTGAAACATAAATTTAATTTTAGGATCTCTCTACTTTTCTTCCTAGCTCATGTAGAAATAAAACATTCAGTTATGATTGGTTTTGTTTTCAATCTTGGCAAGAAAAGTCTACAAAAGGAGAAGAGCTGGTCAGTTAAGTTTAAATGAAGTTTTTTTTGTTCAATTTATATTGCGAATCGATCAGTGATCACAGCAACACTATTTGCTATTTTGGGGTTAGATTGAAAAGTCAGTTCACTAACAGGTTTTACAGAATTTGATTTCTGCAATAGGAAAACAAATTCACAAGGAAACCAAAGGAAGACAAACTATTAATAACAAATGGTTCATCCATATTCTATAGCTTCCTAATGATTTTTTTCTGAAAGTGTAAAATTGATTAAGTTATTTGACTAGTTGGTACATTTTACTAAAGACTAAATAAAACATAACATTAATGAAAAATATCAATGTGTTACCTTATGTCTGCAGCCAAGAGTTTCCTCTTTAGTGCTATAAATTGCTTCATGAGAAGTTCAGAAAAAAAGCAATAATGTGTAAAACCCGAAGAAAACTGACCAACAAAATGATGTAATGGTAACATTATTATGTATTTTRATTAATAATAATAAAAAAAGAAAATAATTCACATACACCTAATCTTCAGTGCACAGGTAGTTTAAAAAGAGGCTAATTGGTTTCAGACTGCAGTTTATTGCAGCTGTCAAATGTTTCACAATCTTTTTTTTAATAAGTTTAATAATGACAGTGGTGGTGGGAAATTTTCCAGCATTCTTGACTCAGAGAAAACTCTGTGAGAGAAATTCTGTGAAGTTTGCTGTGGAGAAAAACACACCAGAAGACATCTGAAGAGGTTCAGGCTGACCATTCACAGCAGACCAATGAAGGCTCTTTAGACAAAGGAAGAAAGAGAAGTGCAACAACATTAAAAAAGAAAGACTAATAATCTAACATCTAATAAACTAAAATTTAGTTGGCATGTTGTTCTTTGATTAGAGGAAGCCAAAACAGTTTTGGTAATGTGAAAGCTTGCTCATGGATAATGAAATAAAGTCTTCTGGGAGAAGAATAAATTAGACAGCCAATCCCTGTTCAGTTCCTGGTCTCTGTCATCCAATCACGGATGATTACCTGGACACTAACTTGCATACACACTTAAACACAAGTAAATAAATTATTGTTTAACCACCAAGAGCTACTATAAAAATGAAAGAATTCATCTTAATTTACATTATATATATTACATATTAACACAAAAATACTGAACACATAATATCTCCAGACTGACATATTGATTTTAGAACTTATTTTAGAGCATAAAGTTCTGATATTGGTGGTATCGATGTTTCAGCATTGATCCACTCATCACTGACCATCACTCTCTGCATCTTAATTTTTAGAGGCTGAAGATTAAGGGTTAGTTTTTGGTATTTTTGTAGAATGAGTAAGAACCCAACACATTGTACAAAAATGGAATAAACCGTAAACATGTGATTTCATTGTTTTAGTGCAACAGTCAAAGTGTGACAGTCTGTGTTGTGTTCAGTTTTGTTTCAGTTAGATTGCACTAAACAGTTATAAATATAGAAATCCTTAAAGGCAAACCTGCCTGATTTTACACATGAAGCCTAAATGTTTGTTTTGTGAAACTATTTTGTGTAAATTCTGGAGGAATCACCAACAAATGGGTTTTTTTATTGGTCACATTCCCACAAACAGCAAAAATTTAAATCTATATCGCCATTTGTATCGTATTTGCTGCGCAGGATTCTATGACCTATATTTTATCAATGTGATCAACATTTTCCTCAAAAACCTTTTGTATATCATGTGAGACCTGTATTCTGTCCTCTAGTGGAGTAACGATGTACTGTAGGAAGTGGAACTTCTTTTATTTATTTATTTATTTTATTTTTTTGCCTTTTCAAAATATCTGCTGACGACATGAGGTCATTCACACATTTTTTTCAGGAAAACTTTTGCTAATTTTGGAAAAGTTATGGTAAGAATAACATCAATATTATTTGTAATTTTTAAAATAAATACTTTCTGTGTTGGAACAATGCATAATTACTTAAAATATTTTTAATAGTACAGTTAAACCGTGCTAAAAATTTGTGTATCAAACTTGATACTGCAGGTATATAAGTTGCTCCAGTCCTGAATTGTCATGTGACGTTTTGGTAAACTTCCTAGTGTTCTAAACTTGTTAAAAGTTATGGGAAAAACTGTATTTTGTTTCTTAATTTAACTTTATTGTGAGCAAAATGTTACCAAAACAGCAGTGTATCAGATTTGATACAAGAAAAATATATCATAAACAAAGTGATGTGGCAAAAAAAAATTGGATTTTGTTTAAAGGCCCAAAAAAACATGTCAGTTCTAAAAATAAAGGAATTGTCTGACTATTTTTTAAAGGGTTAGGCTCTAAACGGTTAAGTCCAGGAATGTGGTGAAAGTTTCACATTCATGTTTATGGTTTGTTGCATGTGAAAGAAATAAACACACAAGTCCCCTTTGTTACGTCAACACACTCGACCTGTGAATTTACAAAGCAGATGTGCTTTTAATACATTTTATTGAAACAACTGTTGTCTGTGTGTATTGTTATTGTGATTGTGGAAGCTAGTTTCTTCAATTATGGACTCTTCTCTCTTTCTTTTTCAATTAGGCAGTTAAATAAAAATCCATGGGTTTATGCTCTCTATTGTCTTCTACATGTGAAATTTCTATTCATCTTATTGTTGAAAATCTGCTTGAAGGATTTGTGGGTCTTTCTCAGTCTTTCTTCTGCATATTTCTTTGCAACAGGCACTTTGGGAGTAAAAATCCCACTAATTAAGAAGACTTAATTACTGCTTTTCTCCTCCTCTCCTCCTCCTCCTACTCCTTTCCCACTCCCATTCTCTCACCTCTGTTTTTAGTCTAAAGCCCCTACTTTAGTGATGCCCTCTTTTTTACTTCCACCCACTCGCTGTACGTCTTATGCCATTTTTATTCCCAGTCTCCCTTCTTCTCCTCTCGTTTCTCTGCTTGCACGTTTTCATGATCTTTTTTTAATCTCTCTTGCTGTGAGGCTGGTGAGTGGGCTATGCTTTTGTAATTAGTTTAAGGTGAAGATCAAGGAAGCTGGAAATTCACTCCTGGTTTACTCTGCGTGTGAAAGTGCAACCATTAATCAGGCCTATGCTAATTAATGTATATGAAACTAGTTAAAGTCTAAGGATGAGATAAAATGAGAGAAATGGGTTAAAGGCCAGGAAGGAAACAGCAGCTTTATCTGTTTTGCTTTATTGCTTCTCCTTTCATCATTTTCCTCTCCTGTCCTCCTTCTTCCTCTACAGTTTGGCAGGACAGAGGTGATAGACAACACTCTGAACCCCGACTTTGTTAGAAAGTACATCTTGGACTACTTTTTTGAGGAGAAGCAGAACCTACGCTTTGACTTGTGAGTGATTATGCATCAACATCTTTTCCTGTCGCCCTCCAACTGTTCTGTGCCCAACTTATTATAAAATAAGTTCAAATTAAAAGTTGTTTGGTAATTCTCACACATGACCCGCCAGCTCCTTGGTACAAAAGTCCTCATGACAAAACTGTTTAAATGGTGGATTATTAGAGACAAAACAGACGATTTGCATCCTGTTCTCATTACAAAACTCATCAAATCAGAATAACTTGCATAAGTTGGACTTTCATAAACTATTATGTGTTTTGTTGAGAAGCTGTTTTGTTTTTATGGGTGCAAAACTAACACCCAGGAACATTTGTCTCACATTTTGTGAAAGCGCCATGAAACAACAGATTTTCACTTTTAACAGATAAATTATTTTTTTGGTAAAAATCCTTCTGTGTAAGAGAAGTGTTGATCAGAAGTGTGACTGTTTCAACAGGAAAGCTTTGTTATTAGAAAATAGAAGAGTAACATAAGATGAATAATTGTTAGTAGAAAAAAACATGAAGGTACCCCCTACTTAATGTAATTCATATCTTATGTAATTACAAAACACAGTTCTGAACTCAGGTTCCAATATTTTTATTCCTATTTTACACACCTGAAAACCCTCCTTTAAAGAGTCGCCTATTACCTTGAATGCTTTTAAAGAAAGAGGTTGCACAATTTGTTAGCATTTGGTGTAGAAATATACCTCAGCTACTACACTAAATATGATTTAAATAAGAATTTTAGCAATTTTGTCTTTGCTAAGGTTGATTAGTTGTAGCTGTCATATTGATTGACTCCAAAAGCTAATCATATTTAATCATTGTTTTAAAAAAAGATGACTTTGTGAGAGTTTCATTTAAATTCATCAAATGGTTCATGAGATATTTTGCTAACAATAAATAAACAAACACATGTACTCAAACACAAGCAAAATATTTCACGTCTTATGTTATTGAATATAAATATGTTGTTTGTTTATTAAACTGCAGAGTTTCCTTTACTTATATTCTCATATAGTCTTGAAGTTTTTACCTCTTAGGAAAAATAAAGGATCTGCTTGAACACATCCTGATTTACTGTTCCTGACAGTAACATCTGAATCTTGTCGCTTTTAAATTTACATTTTGTTTACTCCAAGTTTCTTTCTAGCACATTAAAAACATTGTTTAATACTATGCTATGGTTTTCTCTGTCTTTTCTTTTTTCTTTTTTTTTTCAAATAAAAAGCAACACTTCACCCCAGTTACTGTCATCATAATTTTTCCCTCCTCATTTATTTTGTGACCGCAAGATAAAATAGCTCCCCATTAAGTTTTCGATTGTTGCCTTTGCTTTTGTTCTTTTAGGTACGATGTGGACTCTAAAAGCCCGGACCTGTCCAAACATGTGAGTGCACGAACAAATTTTAAACCTTGAATCACAGAAACATGGAGGCCAGTTTTCAGTAAAGTCTAAATTAATGGTTTGAAATGATAAGGAAGAAAACAACATGCATGATGGAGTTCGTTTGAAATTGGTAAACTTTTCTCATCATCTGTCTGAGCTTGAAACTATTAACATTTTCTGCTTTCTGCATGTCCTAATTGGATATTGCCTGCAGCTTGTATATCTTTCTAAGATGGGATAAAACAAACCCTTTTTATTGCCTGTATCATGTAAGGATCCAAATGCAAATTCTCAATCTTGTTTTTACACCAAGTTATTGGGTTTAGAGTATAAGAGCTGTATATTTAAAGTACAAAGATGACATTGTAAAGATATTTCTATATAAAGTTTTAGTTTTCACTGTCTTGTTATCTAGTTGTGCAGATGAACATGTGCAGCTATGACTGCGCAATCGGAACAGAAAGAGTAACAATGCTTATAAATGTTAGTTTCCATTTTAGGCAATGCACTACATGACATTGAACATTGTGATTCTGTATTACTTTTAGCACATAAGATGTTTTTTTCAAGAATAAAAACTATGGTGTAGGGTTGGGCAGTATCCAGTTTTTAATATTTATTAAGCCTCCCTCAATTTATACCATGGCCACTGGTATTAACTTCTGACCAGAAGGCCTTATTGCATGTAATGTAATGTAATAGGGCATTTTTATTGCTTTATATTTTTCAACCTATTTAGACTAAAAATGTAACAGACATTTTCTGTCATTACAACCATGCAATGGAACAAAATCATTAAAAACAATAACTAAACAAAGAGGGACTTTATCAAAATTCTCATGTTACAATCATTTTCCAGTGAACATGTCACATTATTTTATTTGCCTGTCAGTATGTCAATTTTATCAGATGCATTTATTGAACTACAGACCTGAATCAAAGGTGCTTAAATCGAACACAGATTAAGTTTATATACAGTGGCTAAAATAAGTATTGAACACGTCAACATTTTTCTCAGTAAATATATTACTAGAGGTGCTAATGACATGAAATTTCCACCAGTTGTCAGTAACAACCCAAGTGATCCATACATACAAAGAAATCAAACCATAAATGTCCAGAAATGAAGTTATTTGTAATAATGTGGAATTGGCACAGGGCAAAAT